GGTACTCACGGGCGGTCACCAGGAGCTCCTGGCAGTCCCCATCCAGCTCCAGCAGGCTGCTGCTGGCCGAGTGCTCCCCAGGGACAGGGCGCCCCAGCACCTCCTCAAAGATGAGGCTGTTGGACCCAAAGGAACTGGCAGGCTTGGGGGCTTCCCAGCTTGGTCCAGATTTTGTAGCACAGTTCCTTTTGGGATTTGCGTTTAGCAAAGAGAGGGAAGAAGAGCTGGGCAAGTTACTTTCTAGATTATTTAATCTTTTCTTGCAGACTAGTGCCCTGTGGCTCTTACATTCAGAAGGTGGAGATGCCTCATGGAGAACTGTGTATGTGGAATACTCTGGATCCTCCAAGCTGGAGAACATGGCTGTGTCCAGAGTGGAGAATAAAGAGGATTTGTTGGATTTTGTGGGAGTGAAGTTGTGCCTACAGGAGCTGCTCAGGTCTGCAGCAAACACGTGTGGGACTGCATTCCCCACCCTGGGGGTCTGGCTGCCGTGGGGGCTGGAGACAAGGGGAAGGGGTGTTTGGTCATCTGTGCCATCGAGCTGCCCAATGAGAGTGGACACAGCACTGTCCAGCTCGCTCTCAGTCGAGAGAGAGACTTCATCAATGAGGTGAGAAATGTCACTGTCCTGCAGGGCTGCTGCGGAGTGACAGTCAGGGCTCCCAGAGCACTCGGCAGAAGAAGGGGAAAGAGGTGCTGCAGTGCTTTTCTTCGTGTCACATTTGTGATTCTCCACCTCTGTGCTCTGAGAAACAGAAGTCCCTATGAGACTGGTCTTCCCTTCCTTAGATCCTGTTGTGTCATCTTCCTTTTTACTGTCTGCACAGTTTCTGTGGTGTGATTTTTCTGTGGGAAGTTCAGAGTCAGAGTCTTGCGTTAGGGGGACAGTTCCATCAGAGAGATTATCCTCCTGGTAGTCCACAAGGTGATTTGCTTGAGCTATACCATCTGCAAAAACCAAATGTTCAGGTTGCTCCTGTGGAGGTGGTGCTAAACAGTCAGCTGTAGAATCCCTCTGGTCATTCTCCTTCTTGAACTGAGATGCTAAATGTGAAGCGTTTGACTTTTGCTCCGAAGGTGGAGAACCCAATTCTTTCAAGCTTGTTTCCTTCTCATTTGTATTGTCATCACTGTTGGCTAAATTAAACAAGAAACATATTAGTGGCATTAAAGACTCTGCTCTGTCTATCAACAGCTATTTTGTCCTTAGACAGACAAATGGAGAACGCAAAACTAGGTACAGTTGTGACAGAACTTAATCATGGGGTTGTGCAGGTTTAGTACAAATTATCTGAGTGACATGAATAAATGGAAAAATACAACCGCAGGCACTTCATTGAAATTTCCTTGGAATGTCTATTACATCAGGCAGGTGATGTAATATTTGTTGTAAGTAATGTTAATGAGGTACCACATCATAGCTTGCACGTGGCATTACCTTCAGCTGTGTTCCTAGTCACATTTGTACTATAAAGAAGCGTGGCAATAAAGACAGAACAAAACAGCTCTGTTAAAACACACAACACTTGAAAACAAGATGCATGCTTCAAGCTGAGTCAAAAGCATCGAGTAGATGGACTCCAGACTGGTTTATACATGTGGCTACTGCAAAGTGTTACAGTACAAGGATTTTGTTTGGATCTTCTACCAGCAGGCAGCATTCACAAGGGCAAGGGTTTGAATTCCTCGAAAAACACATATTGGGTGTTTTCTCCACAAATCCTCTTGTCTTTTTATGCCAGATTCGAGCTCTGTGACTCACTCCTTTGGAGATTTAATGAAGCAGGGACTATAGAAGTAAACTCGGTGCAATAGATACTGGTTTTAATGATTGCTAGAAATCAGGTACTCTTGGAAGAAGCGAGGGGAGCCCTGACCATTCACCAGAGGTAATTTTGGAAGCACCTTACCAGATGTGTTGTCCTCTGCCTCGGCCTCCTGGGCAGTGTCCTGTGCAGGGCAGGGCAGCTCCACCATGAGGAACCTGTCCACGGGCATGGAGGCGGGGCGCGCCTGCGAGGGGCGGTTCGGCCGCCGCAGCACCCCGTCCTTGTCCTTCAGGTCTGCCGGCTCCGAGGCGCTGTCCTTCATCTCAGCAGCCTCCAGGAAGCCTATCTTGCTCTTCTTCCTGCCCTTGGCCGGGGCGCTGGCCGTGCGCCGCAGGATGCGCTCGCCGATGGAGCGCTTGCGCGCGTGGTGCCCGCTGGGCTCGGCCGTGCCCGCCTTGGGCGCCTTGGAGAAGAGCCCTCGGAGCCCCATCAGCTGCTTGCTCTGCAGGGACACAAAGCACAGCCTGCCTGAGCTCACGCCCGCTCACGGGGCAGAGAGCTGCTCCCACAGCGCCGATGAGCGATGACGGCAAAGTTCAAAACGCAGCAAAGCAAAAATTCACACCAAGCCACTCACAGCTACTCTGAGCAAGGAGCTCCAGCACAGGTCTCCATGGATTCATGCATGCCTGCCTTTCTCCTCATTAGGATGGCAGCCTGCCACAGTTACCAGAGAGCTTTGCTCAGCCTCCTAATGGGACCTGACAAGGCTCTAGGAAGTGCTCGGCAGTGACAGGCTGCACATGAACGTGGAGTTTTCTATGCATGGGTTTCATCAAAGCAATATTCAGATGTTTCAGAGCCTGCATGGAGAATGGTTCCAGTTTGGCAGTTGCAGATCATGCGATTGTGAACCACTGGAAAGTGTGTGCCCAGCAAGTGCAAAGTGCATGCTCAATGAGCTCTACCTTGGTGGCTCCTAGAAAGTGCATTATTGTGTAACTGGGATTGAGGATTAAAGGGCTCCACTGAAAGGCAAAAAGAAATGCAAATCCATTTGGCTAATGTTTTCAAGACTGCCACACAAGCAAATAAGGTAACAGTACATCAGCTGTAAACAGAACCACTCTACAGCAAACCATTTAAAGCTATTTCTTAGTTGAATAGGTGTCCCCCAGGAGCTGAGCAGATCTCCTCACTCAGCCTGTGAGAAACAGCAGTGCAGCCATCATTGATTCAGAGCAGCATCAGGAGAACAGACCCAGGGACAGAGAGGGAATCCCAGCGGGTGTCCCCTCCTGCTCCCCTTGCCTCCCCTCTGGAGTTACACTGCTGGTTTTCTTCAGCAGATTTGTTCTTGAAAAGGCAGAAGCCAAACAGGCCCCTGCAAACCATCCCCAAGGGGTGTGGTCTGCCAGATCTGCCCAGATGTGCACGAGATCCCATCCCGTGATCTGCGGGGATCAAGGAGGAGAAGGGAAGCGGAGCTGCGAGAGGATCTGGACAAGAGCAAACCTCAGCCCTGGGCTCTTCTCCCTGCTGTTGTCTCTCTGTTCCCCTGAGCTTTCTGTGGGTGCTGCACAACTTTGGGTTCATGTTTGTCATGACATTCTCTGCATCCTCTCAGAAGGCACAAAGACTGAGGGCTGTGTCCTCTGCAACCTCAAACCTCACAAAAGTCAGGGTTTTGTGTTTATCTTGGTTTCTTAAATCACTGCTAAGGTGCTATTTTACTTTATCCTTCTGCTGACCATGGCCTTAATTTCTTTGTGCTGCTTATCTCCAGATGGAAACAGCTAAGGAAGGGCAGCTGAAAACACAGAAAAAGAACTGTGCTTTCACTTTCGCTTTAAAATCATTCTAAAATTAGCAAACTTGCAGAAAAGCAAAATCTATGCACTAAAACCTAGAAGTAAATTAGGTTAATTTAAATTAATTAGCTGCTAAAAATAGCTTGTCAAATATTATGATCTGGTGCAGCTACAGTTCTCAGGATCTACTTGCAAAATAAGATCAGTGTAGCACACTGAAGAAATGTACTTCCTGTACCTAGACAAGATCATTGTTAGGTGCTAACAGTAAGAACATCTGCAAGTATGTGCACACCAAGAGTGGAGTCATGGTATGGTGACCTTTCCTTGCTGATCTCCTGCAGGGAAACCCCACACACTCTGAGCCTCCTGGGCACTCCAGCACAAATCCTGGGAGGTTCTGGGCTACATTTAAATCCATTTTTATTAGAAGATGTAAATTTCCAGCTGTACCTACCTTTCCATAGGTCTCATTAATGATTATATGAACAAATATGGAAGCTTCTGTGAGTCCTTCTAAATACACGTGGCGATAGCCTGGGGAAACAGAAATAGGAATATTTCCACACAAACCTCCACCAAGAACCAGCAGTTTGCATTTTATGCCCAGCTAGGAATGACTGCCTATAAAAGTGATGTACACACAGGAAGCCACCTGGTGCCTTCAGTAAACTTCTCTGGGGTCCTCACAGGTTTTCTGAGCCCCAGTACAAATTGCCTCCAAGTTATAAAAAACACCCCAGCAGTAATTTCCACAAGCACAGACAACCAAACTCCTTTTTGGGATGGTGCATAAAGCACCCTAAGAGAACAGAAGAGTTGTCCAAGTTTCACATGAAGTCACAGAGATAAAGGTTTATAAAATCTATCATCTCGTGCTGCTACCATCCTCCTTGGGTTTGAGGGAGGATTTGCACACCCAGGACAGCAGGGGGACTCACCAGGCACGAGGCTGCTGAAGGCCACAGTTCTCTGGCCCACAAAGTCCCTCCCGATGGGGTCGTGGTCCCAGACCAGGAAGCGCACCAGGGCAATCTCGGGCATGTGGATGGTGAAGGTGAGGGTCTCCTCCCACACAGGATTGAACCCTGCAGGGCAGACAGGACACACTGGGGAACAGCCAGAGCGAGTGCCTGCCCCAGTTCCAGGAGCACAGGGCACAAGGACACAGCAGCAGCAATGACAATTCCATCATGCCAGTCATTAGATGTGACACATCTGCCTCTAGGATTGCTTTGAAAACAAAATGGGTCTGCCTGGGAGATACCCAGGCAAGCCCTGAGATAGATACAGATATAGATACAGATAGATTTGAGCTTCTGCATAAAGGAGATCTAAGAACAATTTGGTTAAAAGGCAATGTGGGGGACAACTCCTGCCCTTCAACTTTGTTTGTCTCCACACCACAAATTCTGTCTGGGAAGCAGAAATAATTTGTTAAAATACAATAATTTGATTTCATCAGATAAGATGCTTTGCAATTTAGAAAGCAATAAAGACACTAATTCATTTACACTTATTTAATATTTTACTCTAAGAAAAAGAAATCTCTTAGATTATCTTACCATTGTCATCCACCACTCTGGTCTGATCTTTACAGCAGTCAACAGGTAACCCAATAATCTCCACCTCAACAAAGGGATCTATGATCTGTTTTTCAAAAACACAAGATTTTAAAAGCAAGCCAGCCATACAAATGAAGGTGAATTTTTTAAAAATTAATGGGGAGAGTTGATTTAAATTCATATGAGAATTCAAACTCCTTTGACTGACATGAATTTTCAAGCAGCACTATCATGGGAATTGGTTCCATGGAGTACATGTTGATGCATGATTTGCATCAAGAGCTATGGACAGCTATGACTAATCTTCATAAACGTCACCCTTTAAAATACAAAACAAATCACTTCTTAAACATCACAAGTAGGATACAGGCTGGGGGAAGTGTAGTATATTGCGACCAAAAGCTTAACATTATCTGAAATTTACTGGTGTATTTGAATAAGGAGAAGGTTTGAGTCCCACACTGCCTGTCACTGCTGAGCTCCCCTGGAATGCACCAGAGCATCTCACCTCTCCTCTGTCCCCCAGCATTGAGTCAGGGGGCTTGGGGAGCTGCTGCCCACTGATGATCTTCAGAATCAGCTGCTTCTTAGGACTGGCAGGAAGTGGATCAGCAGAGTAGGGGTTGAACGTGCCTGAAAGATGGCAAGAATGAGATTGTAAGGGAAAAGATAACACATAAAAATATCTCCCCCCAAAACACACACAGACAAATTCAGTCAGAAATGAGAAACTATGAGTATGGAGCAGCTGCTCAGTAATTTTAAAATTCTCTTTCTCTTTTTTACAACCTTTTCTGAGACAAGACCCTTGGTTTTGTGATTCCAAGGCAGAGCTAGACCAAGCCCTGGATACTTGCTCCTGGGCCACTGCAGAGCTGCAGAGCTTCCTCTACTTTACTGCAGCTGGTCATCCTGGGACCCCTTTTTTCTCTTTTAAACTCATGTTGTTAAGGCAAAGACCTCAAAATACATATATATATATATGTATGATCACAGTAAGAGATTGCACACTGATACAAGTCTAAGAGCTGTGAGTGCATGGATATATGAGATTCTAGATTTGCTTGCACTTTCCTTTCTTGTGCCTTCTCTGTGAAGGACACTTTGTGAAAGGCCTGGCAGCTACAGTGATAACTGCACTGAACCTTACCTTTGCACATCTGCTGAGGTTTGAGGACATAACCACAGTTGCCATTTACCCTGAATTTTGCTTCATTTAACTGCATCACACGTCCCTCAGACTGGTAGTTTAGGGCCACTGAAAGGGAGAAGTGGGGTGCCATTAATAAAGACAATATTATTAGGCACATACACACAGAAGGGAAGGAAGTCTTTGACACAGCTCCTACCTAACTGGCAGCCCACATTCCAGTAGGGAACAGGGTTGAAGTTGCTGGAGTCGATCCGGTAGGCTGAGGGATAGACCCGGGTCAGCTGCCTCTGGTTGTAAAGCATGAACTGCTCAGCCTTCTGCTGCACTGCCTGGTGGGCTCTGGTCTCACTGAACGACAGCACGTTCCCTGTGGAGCCTGTGTGCCATGGCACAACCAACAGAAAGGTGACAAACAGTCCCGGGGCATGGGCCTGAACCCAGACCTCATTACCGGGCTATTCATCAAGGGCAACCTGAGATTTAGTCCTGTGTTCCAGATTGTCTTGTCTTACACAAATCATGTACCCTGAGTAACTGCAGGGCACCAGCTCCCCCTCTCCCCCTTCCAGGAGGGTCTGTTGTTCTCCCCTCAAGTCTGCACACTTGAAAGGAAAGCCAAGTGGGAGCTTGGCAGCTCTAGGGAACCTGCAGCAAAATCCTCTGCTGGCAGCAGGGCCAGAGGAGTCACTGCCAGGGAGGGAGTGCCCTGCTGGGCTCTGGCTTTGCCCTCGTGCCACCCTAACAGCAGCACTCAGTCCCCCCTCTCCCAGGTGACAAGGACATGCCAGCCCTGTGCCACCCTAACAGCAGCACTCAGCCCCTCCTCTCCCAGTGACAGGGGACATGCCTGCCCTGTGCCAGTCCTGTGCCACCCCGTACCATCATCCACGATGTCCTGGGCTGCCACAGAGTTGGTGTACACCACCAGGTCCGACAGGGCCCGGCACAGCTTCACTGTCTTCCTGCGGCGGGCCAGCCTGCTGGGTGAAAGCGAACATAAACGGGCACTTGCAGGATTGAAGTGTATTTCAATCCCCCTTTCTGTTCTTTTCAACAACAAGGAAATGAAGAATTGTGAGCAGGGAACCCTGTGCGGCAACTCTCTTGGAGAGGGTTCTGGGATGACTGCTCCCCTCTATCTCCACAGCCCATCCACACAAACAAAATTTTTCATTTAAAATATAATGGAATAGCTGCACCATGGCTGTTCTAGACAAAACCAAGGAGCATTTCAGTTAGAGCAGACACATTCTCAGTGGCACTTTTCTGATTGCTTTTTTTCCCATTCTCAGATGCAATGAAGTTGCCTGGGCTGTGATGCACGTTCTGTAACCCGCACAGTTTGCTCTGTTTGCAGCAGGTGAAATAGGGCCTGGCACCTTTCCGTGAGCAGTGGCACTGTCACACTTCTGTGCAGTTAATTGCTGCTTGCAGCCTGTGACAGGTGACACAGCCACAACACCGGGCTCACAGCAAACCCAGCTGACAGCTGTCACGTGTGGCAGACACATCACACGTGACACAGACACACAGGACCTGCTCTGGCACAGCCTCACACGCTGCTGGCACAGAGCAGCCCTGGCCCCACCTGAGGGGCTCCAGCTCACCTGTGGGGCTGCCCCAGCTCCTTGCCCGGAGGGTGCTGCTGGCCGTCCTCATCATCCGAGGCACTGTAGGCTTTGGCTGCTGCCTTGGCAGCTCTCTGTGGGGAAAGAGCCAGGCAGGGTCAGTCACTGTAACAGGGGCTCCTGTTACTGGGGCTGGGGCTGGGCTCTGCAGCCCCAGGGACAAAAGTGACCCCTGGAGCTGGGCCGGCAGAGCTTCCCTGCTGTGGAGAAGGAAAGGCAGCACAGAGCACCCCATGGCAGGGATTCCAGCTGTGGGCAGGAGCGGCTCTGGGTGCTGCCAGGCCTCAGGGGTCATTTCTGGGTGCTGCCAGCCCAGCCAGGCTTCAGGGCTCATTTCTGGGTGCTGCCAGGCCTCAGGGCTCATTTCTGCCAAGGATCTGTCCAGCACAGGCCGCTCTGGGCTCTGCCCCTGCCCTGCTCCCTCCCAACACCAGAGCACAATGCTGCTCCCCTGGCTCCAGGGCACTGCTCCTGCTGGAATCCCAGTGGGTTGTGTCCTGTTTACCAAACAGCAACACACAGCAGGGTCTAAATATACAGAGCACTGCTTATGCCCACCTGTGCCCCGCCTCAGTTTAGAAAATTAAACATATTCATTAGTGAAGGTGTAACAGAGTCAGGGCAAAATTTCAAACATCATCTTCCTGCTCCATTTTGAGCCACTTACAAATATTGAAGTGATTCTAAATTATCAAACTATAAAGAAAATAGCTATGATAAAAAGATTAAATCCTCAAAAATCCCCTTTTTTCATAAGCATCTATGATTTAACAGTTTCTGATTTCAACATTACATCTTTTGTAATGCTAAACACAGCTTCAAGTGAGAGTTACTTAATCCTCTTCTCGTCAAGAGGTAATTAATATAACTGAGAGCTCTTTATCCTTTTGCACAGGGCTCTTTCCTCCTCTTGTCCTACACCCTATTGGACATAATTCAGTTTGCTGTGTTTGGTGCTGACATGAAGCTGACTGTATTGGAAATCATTTACATGGTTCACTTTGGAGTCTGAAGGTCTGCACTGAGCATGTTCCATGCAGTTAACTTTGAGGAATCACCAGCTTTATAGTGTCTTTGTACCTCCCCAGTAGTTTTTAAAGTGTTTGTTCATTTGGCACAAGAGCTGGCTGAAAATGTCATGTGTCAATATTGTTGGGGGGATAATTCTGTATCTGCAAAAAGATCAATAATAACCAGTCTTCCCAGGCATCCCTTCAGCTGGAAAGGCATCAGGGAGCAGTTACAGGATGTCTCTGTTGCCTCAGTCTACAACACAACCACTATTTTCTAAAAAAAATCTATATATACCCTTATTTTTTTTCCACCAGAGATTAAATGAACAGGCTTTCCAAACCTGCTATATCCATTAGGATAACTAGCTGAAGTAATTAAATTATTGACAGGCTTTCAGCCCTCAGCAGAAGCAGCAGATTCCAGTGGCTGACATCTGCCTGTGACATGTCATTCCCAGCATTTGTGAGGCCAGCAGCAAGCACAGGGTGCCAGGGGCAGTGCCCACTCTCAGGTGCCCATGAGGGAGGAACATGCACTGGGCTGAAGGTGCTGAAGGGAACACGGGCACTGTAACTGATGCAAGCTTGGAACTGAAGTGTAAACATGAGCCCGGGTACTCTCTGCTTGGGGAATTTTGATGGCTCCTAGCTGGCTTCAGGGCAGACGGACTGCTGGCTGATTAAGTTCTTTGAAACGTCTCTTAATCACAAAAACCCACTCAGATTCTCAGTCCTGAAGCTCAGTGCAGCCCTCACCATGGAGAGCAGAGTCTGGACGGCTGGGGCAGAGGGCTGCTGGTGGGACAGGGGCTGGCTGGGCTGCAGAGCTGTCTCTGTGCTCAGTGACCACTGCAGCTCTTACTGACAGGGCTGCAGAGCTGCCTCTGTGCTCAGTGACCACTGCAGCTCTCACTGACAGGGCTGCAGAGCTG